ATGTTTAATAGCTTTACTCGTGATTATTTATTTTATAAAATCACTTAATTATTATTGCAGGGTTTGCTGACTGTGCGCAGTTCTCTTTGCAAAGAGGGTGGCAGTAATGACATATAAAGAATACTTGCAAACAGATTCATAAGTTGATGAATGGCACCTATAGCTAAATCTTGGACTTAATCTGGATCATTACCAAATTAAAACAAATTGTTCCGTAGCAAGAGGCACACCTGTTAAAAAATGTCTTAAAATCTGTTCAGAAGTGTTTAATTAATCCTGCTAGCAAACCACAAACTTTCCCTTTTTTTGTACTTTTTGTCTTCAGTAAACACCTCTGACTTCCGATGCCGATATCACCCCCTGGATCATCACCAAAATGCAATGGATTGTTCCAAAGCATACCTCTTCCATACCTCTTCAAGGGATACCTCTGATTAAAAATGTCATTAAAATCCATCCATAACTTTTCAAGTTATCCTATAGACAGACAAAGAAAAACACAAAAAAGTTTCTCAATTCACTAGAACGCGAGTACGGACTCATGTCCTCGCCAAGTATGTTCTTGAGAAGAACACAGGAAAGTTTGGGCTTGGGAAGAACGGGAGCACGCAGCATAAATCTGGGTCAATTGGAACTGAAGCGTACTCGTGGCGTCACCACATGCCCAGCTTGTCTAGAGCTGCATTTCACCTCCTGTTAGGGCTGGGCGATAATTCAATAACGATATATATCGATCGATAGACGTGTGGCGCAATAGAAAAAAAGGGAGTCGACAAAAGTTCGATAAAGAAACGCAGTTTTCCTTCCTTCTCATTGTAGCCTATCATGTAGGTTTATGCTAGTCACTCCCAACCAATCGCAATCGCGGACCCAGGCACGCCGTCACAAAGCGCCGCCCTCTCAAACCACAACACACAGCACATGAAGATGTCGCAGCAATGAGAGGTGGAGGAAATTGTTCCAAAGAAGGGTTTTTGTAGTTCGCCCGTTTGGCAGTATTTCGGTCATGGCAAGTCAGACAAAAAACAAACCGCAGTCATCTGTAAAATGTGTAGGGAACCAGTGAAAACAAAGTCTGATAACACAACCAACTTTTTTTCTTTTCTTTTTTTTTCATCATCTCAGACGCTCACACCCACAGGAGTACGAGCTGTGTAGGCCCCGGCGCGGCTCTAAACTGAGCCATAAACGAGGTGCCAGCAGCACCTCTAGAAGAATGGGGGTGAGAAAAAATGCCCCATAGAAATGCTAGGCTAAAGGGTGAGTTGATTTGGGTTT